AATTCCTGAGTCACCAAACCCTTCCATGTCACCCTCTCTGTCCCCAGATCATGCTGTGTGATGCCTGGTTCCTGGGAAGCTCCCAGTCTAGGGGGAGATACAGAGCAGGGCATAGATACCCCAGCCCCTTGTGGATGAGACTGATACAGAAAGCAGGAGGGTGTGGGAAAGCCCAGGGGGGCTCTGCCTGGGGGACAGAGAGCTGAAACCTCGAAGAGTAAAAGGAGTTCACCAGGCACAGGGATGGGGGGTTGGAAGAAAGAGGGACCAGCATGGGCAAAGGGGAGGCATTGTGGGAAATAGCAGAGCATTCTCTATAACTGAAAGAACATACATTTAAAATGTTTTTCTTAATGTTTATTTTTGATAGAGAGAGAGAGCACATACATGGGAGGGACAGAGAGAGAGGGGGACAGAATCTTCAGGGGGCTCTGTGCTGACAGCAGAGAGCCCAGCGCAAGGATTGACCCCACAAACTGTGAGGTCGTGAGGTCACGATCCGAAGTCGGACGCTTAACACCGAGCCACCCAGGCGCCCCAAGAAAATACATTTTTGAAGAGAACACTCGCTGTGAGTTCCTGCTTGGGGAGGAAGCACAAGGGTCCTTGTAACTAGCTGGGTGTCCCCGCAGAAGGAAGAACCCGGACAAAGGCCACGAGAGCACAGGCCTGCTGGGTGAGGAGGGACAGTGAATCAGTATGATGATGAGAGGGGAAGGGCTGCAGAGGGTAAGGCCAGTCTGAAGGCTCTGAAAGCAGGGCCCAGGGGCTTGGATTTCCTCCTGGGTTGATGGGCACCGGAGTGCACCTGCCCTAGGGTCTATTGACTCAGTACACTCACTATGACTCAGGCTGTGCTCTTTCTTGTGAAACTGTTATCCCTTTCTCTGATCCCCACCCCACCCCACCCCCACCCCCTGATACTCCTTGTGGCCTGGAGTCACTCAGGCCTGGGTCCTAATATTGGTTCTTCCTCTAGAAAGCTTCCAGCAAGTCACCATAAGAGAGGCAGATAGTCCCTCCCCTAGGAGCTGCATCCAGAAGATGGGAGTGGCAGAGAATCCTCACTTCCTGTCCCACAGGGCTGACCCATCTACCAGCCTCAGCAGTGTGGGGGTAGGGGGTTGCGGGGAGGGGGGGTCATCTCTGGCCCCCAGGCTGCGGCCAGTCATTCACCTGTCACCCTCGGCCCTTCATGCTTCTTCTTTCTGACTGATAGTACTTCTCTGCCTTCTTCCCCTCTTCCTCTTCCAGCATTTAAAAATCATCCAGGGTATTAATGGATGAAGGGATAAGCAAAATACAGTACAGCCAGTCAATGGAATATGACTCAGCCATATGAAACTGAGAACTGGCTCATGCTCCACGGTGGTAGATGAACCTCAAAAACATTATGCTGAGTGAAAAAAGCCAAACACCAAGGACCCTGTGCTGTCTGATTCCATGTATATAAAATGTTCAGGACAGGCAAACCCATAGAAGCAGAAAGCCGCTTGGTGGCTGTCAGGAGCTGGAGGAAGGGGCTGGAGAGTGGCTGCCCTATGGGGATGGGGTGTCCCTTTGGGGTGATAGAAATGCGTTGGAACTGACCCGAAAAACAAACAATCCAGTGAAGAAATGGGCAGAAGACATGAACAGACACTTCTCCAAAGAGGACATCCAGATGGCCAACAGACACATGAAACGATGCTCAGCATCCCTCCTCATCAGGGAAATACAAATCAAAACCACACTGAGATACCACCTCACGCCAGTCAGAGTGGCTAAAATGAGCAAATCAGAGAACTCTAGATGCTGGCGAGGATGTGGAGAAACGGGCACCCTCCTACACTGTTGGTGAGAATGTAAACTGGTGCAGCCCCTCTGGAAAACAGTGTGGAGGTTCCTCAAAAAGTGAATAATAGAACTCCCCTAGGACCCAGCAATAGCACTGCTAGGAATTTACCCAAGGGATACAGAAGTGCTGATGCATAGGGGCACATGGACCCCAATGTTCACAGCAGCACTCTCAACCGTATCCAAAACATGGAAAGAGCCTAAGTGTCCATCAACGGATGAATGGATCAAGGAGATGTGGTTTATCTATACGATGGAATACTACATGGCAATGAGAAACAATGACATCTGGCCCTGTGTAGCAACATGGATGGACCTTGAGGGTGTTATGTTGAGCGAAATAAGTCAGGCAGAGAAGGAAAATATCATATGTTTGCACGTATAGGAGGATTAAGAGGAACTTAACTGAGGAACAAGGGGGAGAAGAAGGGGGGAAATGGTGGGGGAAAGGGAGAGAGGCAAACCATGAGAGACTCTTGAATGCTGAGAAACAAACTGAGGACTGATGGATGTGGAGGGAAGGGGGGCGATGGGCATGGAGGAGGGCACTTGTGGGGATGAGCACTGGGTGTTATATGGAAACCAACTTGACAAACTATTAAAAAAAAAAAAAAAAGAAAGAAATGTGTTGGAACTTGATGGGGGTGATAGTTGCACTAAATGCCACTGAGCTGTATACTTTAAAATGGCAAGTGGAGGGGCGCATGGGTGGCTCAGTCAGTTAAGCGTCCGACTTCAGCTGAGATCATGATTTCACCATTTGTGGATTCGAGCCCCGCGTCCAGCTCTGTGCTGACAGCTCAGAGCCTGGAGCCTGCTTCCGATTCTGTATCTCCCTCTCTCTCTGCCCCTCCCCTGCTCACACTCTGTCTCTGTCTCTCTCAAAAATCAATAAACATTTAAAAAAATTGAATGGCAAGTGGTTAATTTTATGTGAATTTTATCTCAGTTTTGTCAAAAATCCTCAGAGGAAATCATCAATAAATGCCCAACCCAGTGGGTGAACACTGTTTGATGGACACCAGGCTATTCATATACTCTCAGAGTATCTCCGCACGTGATACTGAGATTTATTTATTAATAACAGGAGGAGGGGATGGGAAGAGAACAGTACCTTGATAGTAGGGAAAGCTGGCCAACTTCACACAAGCGATCAAAGTTTAATATCACCAGTGTTAGGAATTGATGTCAGGTACCTCCTGATACGCGGCACTGGGGAGGCCAGCATCACCTGGTTCTGGACCTGTGGACCTGTGGTTCTGGACAAAGACACACTCCCTGGGTGGGAGGACCCAGCAGGCCAGGCCGCTGGAGGACGTCCTGAGAAACAAGTGGCCTCAATTCTCTCAACATGCGAATATCACAAAAGACAGGGAAAAGCTGAGGAACTGATTCAGATCAAGCAAATGTGGCACAATGCGGAAAGAGTTGGTGAATCTGGACAAAGGGCATATGGAAATCACGCTATTCTGCATTCGACATTATTTTTTATTATTTTTTTTTTCTAGGAGGGAGAGAGAGAGAGAGACAGCGTGAGCAGGGGAGGGTCAGAGAGAGAGGGAGTCACAGACTGAAAGAGGCTCCAGGCTCTGAGCTGGCAGTCAGCACAGAGCCCGATGCGGGGCTCGAACCCACGAACCGCGAGATCATGACCTAAGCGAAAGTCGGACGCTTAACCGACTAAGCCACCCAGGCGCCCCAGTTCGACATTATTTTAAAATAAAAAGGTTAAAAGTTGCCTAAAGCTCTCTGGGCTGCCCTGGTGAAAATCTCCGACCATGGCTTCTAGATGCTCAGCCTCTATATAGAGGTGACCCACCCCTAGGCTCCAGGTTCCTAACCCATCCCTCCTCCCTGCGGCTAAATAAGGGGGGGGGGCAGCCTGCCTCTTTCTCCTCCTCATGGTGGCAAGTGTGACCCCTGACCTGTCCACTCCTCCTCCTTTCTCTGCTCCCTCCTGTGGGTGCAGACCTGTGTCTCTGCTACCGTGTTTTCCCTCTCATTTGGCCTTCCTGGCTGGGCTCCACTGGACCCGCCTCTGGGGAGCCCTCTCTGGGGGAGGAAGGTATACCGCAGCCCCTGGAACAAAGCCAGACATAAAGCCAGAGATTTATACGCACCTGTTGAATAAATGAATGAACAAATAAGTAACTACCCTCAAGCAGAGCCCTCACTAACCCCTTCCCAGACTCTGTCCCTCCCTCTGGCCTAGCTCTGAACCCACAGAGCTGGGGGCCTTTCTGTGTCCTGCTTTTTCTTCCTCGGAATGAGGGCTTCTCCAGGGCTGGGCTTGGGGCCCCTTTCAGGGTCCCCATTATCGCCACATGGACAGAGTGGGCTGCAGGGCGGCTTTGGAGCATGACTGGTTTTGGAAAAGGCAGTTGATCAAACTGAGCAAGGCTAAGCAGCAAAGCTGGGTGGGGCTGGGGGCTGGGGCGGACCTTTGGGGTTTACGGAGGGTAGTAAGGAGGAAGAGGGGTGCTTTCCAGGAGAGCTGAGATTAAGAAGGCATGTGTGTGTGTGTGTGAGAGAGAGAGTGTGTGTGTGAGCGTGTGTGTGTGTGTGTGTGTGCACTCACATCCATGAGGCTCCTTCCTAATATGTGTCTGGGGTCTGAGGCTGCAAATGCTGCCCCAGGCTTAAGGCCTGGCTGGGCCTGAATTTTGGGTTTGTGTCTTATATTTTCAGTCCTCTTGAAGCTCTATGCGCGTATGTCTGCGATGGGGCAGGGTGGTTGTGTGTGCATGGGATTCCTAGGACGTGCCTGGCCTCAGTTTTCGGGGATCTGTGTCTGTGCCCTGGCTCTGTGTGCGTCCCCGGGCTCTGAGTGTGTGTTGGGAGCGTGGGTGTTGACGAGGCTGGTGTGTCTGTCACCGCGGATTCAGCCCACGCCTCACCGCATGGCTGGCCTGAGTTTCCAAGGATCTGCGGGTCCCAGGCTGTGTGGGTGGAGGGTGGGCAGGGACCCCGGGAGGCCGGGCTGGGGTGGGGGGGCGGGGGAGCACAGGGCCGGCCCCGGGGCGGGGCGAGCCGCCCAGGGCTGGGGGCGGGGCGGCCCGGCAGCCTCACTTTGGCGAAGTTGGCGGCGCGGAGGCTGGCCCGGGACGCGCCCGGAGCCCAGGGAAGAAGGGAGGAGGGAGGAGGGAGGGTCGCGGCCGGCCGCCATGGGGCCGGGGACCCGGGGCCGCCGCCGCCGCCGTCTCCCGATGTCGGCGCCGCCACCGCTGCTGCCCGTGCGGGCGCTGCCCCTGTTGCTACTGCTAGCGGGGCCCGGGGCTGCAGGTGAGGGGCTGGGACCTGGCGGTCGGGACTGGGTGGGTGGGTTGGGGGAGGGTAAGAGCGGAGTTTAAGGACCCCCGAGTCTGGGGCTGGAGGGCTGGCCCCAAGGCCCAGAGCAGGGGCTGTGAGCACAGGAGTCCGGGGGCTACGTGCCAATCCCGGGGGGGGGGGGCGCAGGGACTCAATGGGGGGAGGGGGCAGGGCCTCAGAGGTCCGCAGATTACGAGCCCAGGAGAGATCAGAGTTGGGGGTGTAGGGACTCAGGAATCAGGGGCTGGGAGCTTGAGGTGCAGGGATCAGGGACGCGAGATCGGGGGAACCAAGGATCTGGAGCACGCTCCCAATGCACACCCGTCTGGAGTCCCGGGAAGGTCACGAATTGGAGCCTCAGTACCCCCAGGCTGGGGACCCCTCGCACAAAAGCCCCCTACACACCCAGGGCCGGCCTGGCCGGGCCGGGCGGGCGACGGGGAGGGGGCGCGAAGTTCTCGGAGCTCTGAACTCGGGGAAAACTTCTCAGGCCGGAGCGCGGCAAGACCCGGAGCTGGAGTTGGAGCGGGAGCCGCAGCGGCGCCCGCGCCCCTTTCCCCGCCCGCGGCCCCGCTCCCTCCCTTGGCCGCAGGGACCCGGCGGCCCCGGGACCCCGCCCCCGCGAGGGGAGGGAAAAGGAGGGCGGGGGGCGCGAGCCCACGTGCTCCGCTCCAGCTCTAGCGCCCAGTCCCCGCAGCCTGAGCCCCTCCCCAGCCGGCCGGGGGCCCCCCGCCCCTCCCCCTCCCCGCTCTCCCTTCCCCCGCTCGGGACAATGGCCGCGCCGTCTAGACACCCCCTCCCCCCCGGCTGGCCTCGCGCTTTCTTTGCCAGACAAAGCGGGACGGGCGGCGGGGTCTGGGCGGGGGCTGCGGGGGCGCACACCCCCAAGGGAGGCCTGGCCGGCGGAAGAGATACGCGGCCAGAGCGGCCGTGGTCCGGGGTCCCAGGGAGCCTCCGTGCGACTCTGCGCTGGGAGGGAAGGGCCTCCACAGCCCAGCCCGGTGCCCGATCGGGCAGGATCGGGCAGGAGCTGCCGCCTCCGCGGGGCCAGCGCTCACACACATGGCCTGTCACACACTTGCAGGCACACACAGCCCTGGGTCACACATACAGAGACGTAGACGTGCGCGCGCACACGCACACACACACGACACCCGCAGACGTGGACACACAGCTCACACACTGACATTCGTACTCGTACAATCACCCGTGTTCCTAGGTACCATGGGTCACCAGCCCAAGGCCCTGCACGCGTTGCCTGCACACACATTCAGCACATGTAGACACGGATCCAAGACATGCCCACACCCAGTTTATACGTGCAGGCAGACGGTCACATCCAACGCGCACACAGACACACCTGAGAACACAGCGGTCACACACACACAGCTGTGTGCCCAGATAACGTCCACGCACAGGGACCCACCGCAGGTCCGGACTGCACATCACAGCACGGGCGTGTGTACACACATGGACTTCAAGTGCACACACACGTGGCTCATCATATGGCCCCCTAGGGTGAGTTCACAGGCACCGGCCCTGTCCGGGTGGTAGGGTCCTGTCTCTGCTTATCCCCTGAGGAAGGGGACACAGGCCTCGTTGTCTTGTTCTCAGGTCCAGCTCACCTTATTCCGTCTCTCCCTCTGTGTCTCTGCACATCTCTCTCTTCTCTGAGGCAGCTTGCTTCTAGCTTCCTTTTTTGTATCTGTCTCTGCCTTTCTCTATCTCCCTCCATCTCCCTCTATCTGTGACCAGCGAGGGCACACACACACACACACACACACACACACACAGGCCCCACACCTGCCATCACACACAACTCTCCACTAGCTCACACCCAGCCGCACCCCAGACCAGTCTGGCGGGACAGTTAGACTGCCACACCTCAGAGGGACACAGCCCTCAGGGATGGGGACGCTGGACAGGGCAGCACATGCCTAGTGCCAGCTGCCCCTCCCTTCAAACCACACCCTATCCCTGCAACACCCAGTGTTGGCTGTGCGAGGGGTACCTGCCTTGGGCCCTCTCAGCAGAGCACTGTTCAGGTCTGCCCAGCTGGAGCAGATGTCCAACATCAGGGGGAAGTGAGAACCATGGCCCCCAGGCCTCCCTACCCCTGCCCTCTCCATTACCCTGGGGTCTGGGCGCATGGCCCCAGACCTCCCTCTAATGCCCAGGACCCTCACTTCCTGCCTTTGCACCCCCCATTCTGGCAGCTTCCTGAGTCCCCACATCTGGCACAAGTCAGCACCTCCTCCTGCCCGCCCCTGCCTTGTGGTTCCCAGGGCTTGAGCTGGCAGGGACAGCTGCAGCCCCAACAGCTGGGGCTGGGGCGGGGGGCCGTGGGAACTGTGGGTGGGGGGGCTCCATGCACCCACAGAAACACCCCCAGCTCGTTGCAGCTGTTCCCTTGGGGGGGGGAAGATGGGCTCTGCCACTCTGCACTTGGGTTCTTGGGTGCCTGGCTGACCCCCCACTTTCCTTCGCTCTCCTCCCCACAGCCCCCCCCTGCCTGGACGGAAGCCCGTGCATGAATGGAGGTCGTTGCACCCAGCTGCCCTCCCGGGAGGCTGCCTGCCTGTGAGTGCCTGGCTCTGAGCCATCAGTGGGTCCTGTGTGGGGGGGGAGGTTGCCTGTCTTCTCCCCTCGCCTCTGTGTCCACCGCAGATGTCTCTACCACTTTCTACATGTGTATGGTTTGGGCAACTTCTTGTTTCCCCATCGGAATCGAGCAGGGTTAAGAAATGAGTAAGGTTTGGGGCGCCTGGGTGGCTTAGTCGGTTAAGCGTCCGACTTTCGATTAGGTCATCATCTCGCGGTTCGTGGGTTCGAGCCCCGTGTCGGGCTCTGTGCTGACTGCCAGCTCAGAGCCTGGAGCTTGCTTCAGATTCTGTGTCTCCCTCTCTCTCTGACCCTCCCCTGCTCGCGCTGTCTCTCTCTCTCTCCTAGAAATAAATAAAACATTAAAAAAAAGAAAGAAAGAAAAAGAAATGAGTAAGGTTGAGAGCAGGGGCTCTGCAGTCTGCCTGGCCTGGGTTCAAATCCCACACCGTGTTGCTCACTGCCTGGGACTCAAACTCTTTAAGCTTCAATGTCCTCGTCTGGAAAACAGGCGTGCACTAATGCCTGCTTCACAGAGTTCTTGGCTGCCTGAAGTCACATGTAAAGCCTCTGATGGAGGTAGTTATTATTCAATTAACAGATCTTGGCAGTAGTGGGTACCTCAGTTGGATCCTCCCATATATCAACATTTGGTGGGGGCGGGGGGACACAGGAGCCGTGTAATACAGCCCTGCGCTGCCACTCTATTGTTGTGTGACCTTGGGGTAGTCACTTCTCTCTGAATCTCACTGCATCTGTGAAATATGGGTGCTCCTTCCTGGCTTGTGACCATGAAGGGGTTCAAAAATTCAGTTGTTAGATGATACAAGGCAAGGCGGAGAGCTGGGAGGAGCAGAGCGGGGGCTGGGAAAGAACTGAGCAGATGGAGACAGAGCTCAGTTTGAATTCTGGGCTCTGGGAGGGGCGCCTGGGTGGCTCAGTCGGTTAAGCCTCTGAGTTTGGCTCAGGTCATGATCTCGCAGTTCATGAGTTCAAGCACCATGTCAGGCTTGGTGCTGACAGCTCAGAGCCTGGAGCCTGCTTTGGATTCTCTTGCTTTCTCTCTCAAAAGTAAACGTTAAGAAATTGAATTCTGGGCTCTGGGATACCTTGAGCAAGTGCTTTGAGCTCTTTGAACCTGTTTTTGCATCTGGAAAATGGGTCAAGAATTCCTTTATGAGGTTGATTGTAAAGATTAAGAGACTCTTCATGTGATGAACTCAGCACAGTGCTCAGCGTATACAGTAAATGCTCCATGAATGCTAATAATGGTAGGGGCTCGGGAAATCGGTGTCATGAAGGGCAACATCTGAAGGTTATGGGGGAAATGCTAGATTCCTTTTATAATATCCTCATTAGTAATAGCACATCACCTAGTAGCCATTGATTGATTCAATAACGTATTCATGTATTCAACAACATGTGTGCCAGGCGCAAGCTGGGTGGTTTTGGGGGTGACTTTAGATCCAGGAGAGCCCCTTTGAAGTTACACACGTACTTTGACTGGAGACCCACTTGGGCTCACCCAGGTAGGGGCTCAGCCTGGCTCAACGGGTTCCTCGGGTCGGGAGCCTGAGATGGTGGGGGTGGGGGAAAGTGCGACCTTATCTGGAGCCACTCACCTGGGAGGCGGAGCCGCGGAGCCGGGCGCCTGCGCAGTGGAGCTCCGCACCTGGAATACTGCCGACAGGTGAATGCTGCCGCGGCTGCCCCGCCCCTCAACAGGTGAATCACCGGCTCGCGCGGCCTCCCGGAGCGCGGACTGTCCGGAGTGGAGCGGGCTCTCCCCAGAGGTGGGCCGTGGGAACCACTCCCCATGGGCCCCCCAATCGCTTTCAAGGTTCTAAACACTCGTATCTTTTCAGGGACTCCCCAGTCTGTCACCCCACACACACACCCATGGATCCCCCAAGCCCCTTCCTCAAAGTAGCTTCTCAAGCCCTGGTCTCTGTCTCCTAGCCCTCGCCGCACCCCCTCCCCCTCCCCTCCCGCCGACCCCCAACCAAGTCTCCTCTCCCCTGTCGGTTTCCCCCAAAGCCCAGGCAGTGGGGCGGGGCGCGGGCAGAGGCTGGAACCTGCCCGACCGGTCGGCAGGGGAGCGGGGCGCAGAGCGTGGGAACCCGCCCGGGGCGTCGGGAGGGGGCCCGCGCGGCCGCGCCCTGCCTGGCGGTGGGACCCGCAGTCCCCGGAGCCCGGCGCGGCGCGCCCCCTCTTGGCGCTCGGTCCTCACCGACGTCCGGGCCCTGCGGGTCTTTGGGGGAGGGGTCTGGGAGCCGGGGCCTCCCGCCTTAACGCCACTGGCACCCCTACCCTGCCGTGCCCCGGCCTGTTTCACTGGGGGCCAGGGTGGGGGAGTCTTGTGGGTGACGCTAGCGACTGAGTCAGCTGCCCGAGGCCAGCCCCAAGCGACTGGGACCAACCCGAGGGAGGGGCTGCGCGGGGGGTGGGCAGCGTCGGGGGCGGGACCGGGACCTTCTTACCAGTCCTGCCTCCTCTTCCCCCCTCCCCCCTGCCCAACCTCCTCTTCCCCCCTCCCCCCTGCCCAACCTCCTCTTCCCCCCTCCGCCGGTGTCTCTCCCGGGGTTTCCGGCCTCAAGCCCAACCGCCCGATCTCCTTCACACTCAAGGTTGCCTTGGTGGATTTGGGGAAGGGGGTGCAGGCTGAAGGACTCGGTCCCCGTGAGAGAGGCCAGAATTGGCGTCCACCTCCTCCTCCCGGTGGCGGGAAGGGTTGCTGTGCCTCCAGGAAAGGCCAGGAGGATGTATGAGAGTTACTCTCTCCACAGAAGAGCTACGCATCTGTGACCTGCGTTGTGGCTTAGGGTCTGGATGTTCGCCAGGCCAGCGTGTCCAACTGTGTGTTTCTGAGTCTGTGTGCGTGTGTGCCTGCGCGCCTGAGAGGTGGTCTTCTGGAGTCTGAGACCTTGTGTTTCTCCCGCCTGGAAGGCTCTTCTTCACAGTACCTTCCGCAGGCTGAAAATATCCTGCTAGTCTTCCGTCTTCGCTCACCTCCCTTCTCCTGTGTCTTATCCTTGGCTGCCATAACAAATTACAAAAAAAAAACCCCTGGGTGGTTTAAAACAGCAGAGATTGGTTCTCACAGTTCCGGAGGCCGGAAGTCTGAAATCGGGGTGTTGGCAGCCCTGGGTCCCCAGGGGGTTTTCAGGAGGGTCCTTCCTGGCCTCTTCCACCTTCTAGTGGTTTCAGGTGCTCCGTGGCGAGTGGGCGCAACACTCTCATGTCTGTTTCTGTCTTCATGTGACCTTTAACGCTTCCTCCCAAATCCCCCTCTGCCAACGGCTTTAAGGCCCATTTTGAAAATCCAGGATGATCACATCTTGATGTCTGTCACTTAGTTACATCCGCAAAGATTCTTTTTTCCAAATAAGGTCAGAGACGCATGTTCTGGGACATGGGCATGCCTTTTCTGGGGCCGTCACTCAGAACCCGCTAAACTCTTGGTGGCCCTCACCACCCCATGCTGGCATGTGATATAATTTGTTATTTGTGTGTCTTCTCTTTGCCCAACTTGGCCGTGAGGATAAGGAGGGCGGGGACGACTTTTATCGCGTTTGCGACTGTATTCCTATTGCTAAGAACATAGTAGGTACTCAGTGAATATTTGTCGCGTGGATGGATGAGTGTGCCTGTTTGTTGGGCTGTCTGCTCGTGTGTGTGCGCGCGCGCGTTTAATGTTTATTTTTGAGAGAAAGAGAGAGCACGTGCGCACTCGTGTGAGCAAACGAGCAGGGAAGGGGCAGAGAGAGGAAGAGAGAGAGCATCCCAAGCAGGCTCTGAGCTGTCAGCCCAGAGCCAGATGCAGGGCTCCATCTCCGGAACCGTGAAATCACGACCTGAGACGAAATCCAGAGTTGACTTAACCGACTGGGCAGCCCAGGCGCCGCTGCTAGTTGTCCGTCCTGTGTGTACCTTTGTGCCTGGGCTTCTCCTGCCCCCCTGCCATCCTAGTACTGCCCTGTACTACGCTATCTCTGCCCACAGGTGCCCTCCAGGATGGGTGGGCGAGCGGTGCCAGCTGGAGGACCCGTGCCATTCGGGCCCCTGTGCTGGCCGCGGCGTCTGCCAGAGCTCGGTGGTGGCAGGCACTGCCCGCTTCTCCTGCCGCTGCCCGCGTGGCTTCCGAGGTAAGGGATGGGTCTGGGGGAGGCGAGCCCGAGGCAACCAAGGATGTGCACGGCCCGAGCTCACCCTCTCCTGGGCCCGCTAGGTCCCGACTGCTCCCTGCCGGACCCCTGCCTCGGCAGCCCCTGTAGCCACGGTGCCCGCTGCTCTGTGGGACCCGATGGCCGGTACCTCTGCTCCTGCCCGCCCGGCTACCAGGGCCGCAGCTGCCGAAGCGATGTGGATGAGTGCCGCGTGGGAGCGCCGTGCCGCCATGGTGGCACCTGCCTCAACACGCCCGGGTCCTTCCGCTGCCAGTGCCCCGCTGGCTACACGGGGCCACTGTGTGAGAACGCCGCAGTGCCCTGCGCCCCCTCGCCATGCCGAAACGGGGGCACATGTAGACAGAGTGGCGATCTCACCTACGACTGCGCCTGCCTCCCTGGTGAGGGAGCTGCTCCCTGGGAGGAGGAGTGGACAGGCAGCAGGCCAGCCCAGCGGTGACCGTCTTTGCCTCCTCCTCCTCTGCTAGGGTTCAAGGGCCAGAACTGTGAAGTGAATGTGGACGACTGTCCAGGGCACCGATGTCTCAATGGCGGCACGTGTGTGGACGGCGTCAACACCTACAATTGCCAGTGCCCTCCTGAATGGACAGGTAAGCCCCAGGGCCGAGAGCAGCCAGGTGGTGGGCGTCGGGTGGGCATGCGTTGGGTGGCTGCACAGGCGCGTGTGTGTGCCACAGGCCAGTTCTGCACGGAGGATGTGGATGAATGTCAGCTGCAGCCCAACGCTTGCCACAACGGGGGCACCTGCTTCAACACACTGGGCGGCCACAGCTGTGTCTGCGTCAATGGCTGGACAGGCGAGAGCTGCAGTCAGAATATCGATGACTGTGCCACGGCCGTGTGCTTCCACGGGGCCACCTGCCATGACCGCGTGGCTTCGTTCTACTGTGCCTGTCCCATGGGCAAGACTGGTGAGTGGCTGTTTTCCTTGTAGGCAGCAGGGAGCCAATGATGGTTCCACGGTGGGGGAAAGGATGGATCCACTCTGACCTGAGCGATAGCATAATTAGGTTGGAGGCCAGCTATGGGGTGCAGGGTGAGGCGGGGAGAGGCCCGAGAAAAGGCTGGCCCACAGTCCAGGGCAGTAGCCGTGGGGATGGAGAGCTATCCTGTGACTGAGGAGAGGGGACTTTTGCAAGTGGCAAAGGTCAGGGAAGGTGTTTGGGAAGAGGACTTGGATATGGAGGGCGGGGGATGTCAGAGGGAGGATACTCCATGAGCCACGGGTTGAGGGTATAGAATCAGAAAAGGAGTCAGCGGATTTTAAAACAATACGTGGATGTTTCCAACTCATTTGCAAATGGTTCAAGAGAAAAGATACATAAGGCTTACACTAGTTTAAGCTAGGTGGTGCGTGTATGAATTAACTCTTTGGTCCATTTGAAAGTTTTCATCATCGATGATTGGGAAAATAGTTACTAAATACACTGAAGGTTAATAGAAACAAAACACAAAACAATAAGTGAGGGATGTGGGATCTTTGGGCAGAGCTGGAGGGTCCGCCCTTGAACTCTGCCTATTCCTTGCCAGGGCTTCTGTGTCATCTGGATGATGCCTGTGTCAGCAATCCCTGTCACGAGGATGCTATCTGTGACACGAACCCAGTGAATGGACGGGCCATCTGCACCTGTCCACCAGGCTTCACCGGCGGGGCATGTGACCAGGATGTAGACGAGTGCTCCATTGGTGAGGGGGGGGCACGGTCTGAGAGGTGGGGGGGGGAGAGGCAGGTCCTTAGCCACCCGCACTCACACTGCCGATGCCTCCCCTTGCAGGCGCCAACCCGTGTGAGCACCTGGGCCGGTGTGTGAACACACAGGGCTCCTTCCTGTGCCAGTGTGGCCGTGGGTACACCGGCCCGCGCTGCGAGACTGATGTCAACGAGTGCCTATCGGGGCCCTGCCGCAACCAGGCCACATGCCTCGACCGCATAGGCCAGTTCACCTGCATCTGCATGGCAGGTGCGTGGTGGGTGTGGTGGGGGCGGAGCCTGAGGCTGGGGGTGAGTGAGGGAACCCTGCAGACAGCAAGGAGCACCCCCGCCACACACACAGTGAAAGTGGGGCTGGAACGGGACCCGGAGAGACTGAAGCCTGGAATGAGGTGGAGGCTGGGCCAGAGCAGAATCTTTGTGCAAGACTAGGGGCCTGATCAAATGGAGTCCTCAGAACCTCAGGTGGGCAGGGAGTGGAGTCTGTGGCTTCGGATCCGCTGGAGGGTGGGGATGATACAAGAGCGGAACCAGGGGCTACTGTGAGTTACAGTGGAGCCTGCGGACTTGCACTTTTGCTGGGGTGGGTCCAAGGCTGTGGTTGGCTCTGGGGCTGGTAGACTGAGGACTGCAAAGGGAAGAGGGTGGTCTGAAGGCAAGTCTCATCATCCTTGGATCAGTTGGAGCCACAGCTGGCCGAGGGTCCATCATAAGGCCAAAAGCTGAATCTAGGGTTGGGCTGGGGGTCAAGGCCAAGCAAGGCTCAGGGAACTATCTATGAGTAGGAAAGGGAATGCCTTCCCACTTGCTTTCCCTTTCGGCCCGAGGCCAACCCCCACTGCCCTAACCCCCCTCCTTCACTCGCTAGGCTTTACAGGCACTTATTGCGAGGTGGACATGGATGAGTGTCAGAGCAGCCCATGTGTCAATGGCGGGGTCTGCAAGGACAGAGTCAACGGCTTCAGCTGCACCTGCCCTTCAGGTGAGGACCCTGGGCCAGGGAGCCTGAAAAAGACAGGTCCCTGCAGAGGCAAAGGCTGTAGGGTGGGGGCCGTTAGGACCATGTTAGTGGCAAATTATTGTAACAGAAACCAGATGCTATGAAAAACGTTGAAATTAATTTATTTTTTTTAAATTTTTTTAAATAAAAAAATGTGTTTAATGTTTATTTTTGAGAGAGAGAGTGTGAGTAAGGGAGGGGGAGAGAGAGGAGACACAGAATCTGAAGCAGGCTCCAGGCTCTCAGCTGTCAGCACAGAGCCCAGTGCGGGGCTGGAACTCACGAATCGTGAGATCATGACCTGAGCCGAAGTCGGATGCTTAACCGACAGAGCCACCCAGGCGCCCCTGAAATTAATTTAAAACTAAGTAAATGGTCATCCCACCCAAACAAGGCAGGGCTGGCAAGGGGTGACTTCTCTGATGCTGTCTGGGCCTCTGCCCATCCCTCTCCCTACCCTAAGGCTTCAGCGGGGCCATGTGTCAGCTGGATGTGGATGAGTGCGCGAGCACACCCTGCCGGAATGGAGCCAAATGTGTGGATCAGCCCGACGGTTACGAATGCCGCTGCGCAGAGGGTGAGAAGGCCGTTGCCAGGCCAGCAAGCGTCTGGAGGCGGGGCAAGGGAGAGAGAAGGCAAATAACAGCCTAGGGGGCAGTTTGGGGGCGGGGCCACAGCAAGACAGGCCCTGAGTAGAACCAATGACAGCCAGGGGGCGGAGCCAATGATGGCCCTTAGCCGTGGTAAGGCTAGGTAGGGGAGGGGCCAATGGGTCTGGCAGCCACTGAGTGCAAAAGTTGGAGGGGGCGTGTCCAAAGTCCTCTATCCCCAGGCGCTTCCCATGTGTCTCCATTTCTACTCTAGAGCGTAGAGTGAGGTGGAACAGGGCTGATAGCGTAAGGACTGAAAGCCGGTTTCGGCCTGGGGTGGGGTTTATCTGTGCAAGTGTCTTGGCCAGGGGCAAATCCCGGAGCCTGGAGCCGGGTGGAGTTGGGGGCGGAACCTGAATTAAGCCCACCTCCTGCTAATTAGATGGGCAGGGCCCGAGGTAGAGGTGGGCTGGGATTGGGCCGAGACCACGGCCGTGGGCAGGACTTGGCAAGTGGGTGGAGCCTGACGCCTTGGTCCCCCAGGCTTTGAAGGCACTCTGTGTGAGCGCAACGTGGATGACTGCTCCCCGGACCCGTGCCACCACGGGCGCTGCGTAGATGGCATTGCCAGCTTCTCGTGCGCCTGTGCCCCGGGATACACAGGCACGCGCTGTGAGAGCCAGGTGGACGAGTGCCGCAGCCAGCCCTGCCGCCACGGAGGCAAATGTCTAGACTTGGTGGACAAGTATCTCTGCCGCTGCCCTCCTGGCACCACAGGTGGGGCTGGGGCTGAAACCGTACATCCGGAGGGGACAGAGGGTTTGGGAATGGTGCCCCTGGTGGGGCTCAATGGTGGCTACCCCTGTCATGGTTCCCTTCCCCAGGAGTGAACTGCGAGGTGAACATTGATGACTGTGCCAGCAACCCCTGCACCTTTGGAGTCTGCCGGGATGGCATCAACCGCTATGACTGTGTCTGCCAGCCTGGCTTCACAGGTGGGCAAGTGGCTGCCGTGGGACGGGGTATTTTTTACATTTTTGAGAGAGAGGCAGAGTGCAAGTGGGGGAGGGACACAGAGAGAGGGAGACACAGACTCTAGGCTCTGAGCTGGCAGCACAGAACTCGACGCAGGGCTTGAACCCACAAATCTCGAGATCATGACCTGAGCTGAAGTCGGACACTTAACCGACTGAGCCACCCAGGAAGGGAGGCTTTTTGGGGCAAAGGTGAAATCACCCCATTCTTTGCTGAGTTTGCCCTTCTCTTTGCAGATGCTTGTCCAATGAGACTGTCTATGCTTAGTCCTGAGATTATGCTATCTTACTGGTCTGAGGTTGTCCACATATCAGCTCAAAGTCGTCCTGGAACTCAGATGAGGGTGTCCAGACTCAGGGATGGGGGTGTTTCTTCATGGGACCAAAGTAATCCTTGATGAAAATGAAGGTGACTTCATTTAGTTTGGGGACGAGTACGATCTGGGGCAAGGTAGCTCTAGGTTGAGGCGGTGGCTGTCCTAATTTGTCCAAGAGCGAAATAAGATAATGAGACGGTCAAGGACGTGGCCGTGCTAAATGGGACAAGGTTGTCTTTGCCCGTTGGCACCATCGTCCTCGTCCTGGGATGAAGTTGCCTTCGCACTCCCCAGGGCCCCTTTGCAACGTGGAGATCAACGAGTGTGCGTCCAGCCCGTGCGGTGACGGAGGCTCCTGCGTGGATGGGGAGAATGGCTTCCGCTGCCTCTGCCCCCCTGGCTCCCTGCCCCCGCTCTGCCTTCCCCCGAGCCATCCCTGTGCGCAAGAGCCCTGCAGTCACGGCGTCTGCCACAACGCACCTGGAGGGTGAGGCCTCTCCCCCGCCCCATCCCCTGAGGCCCCCCTGCCCACATGCACTCCCTGACTGCCTTTCCTCCCAGGTTCCACTGCGTGTGTGAGCCTGGCTGGAGCGGCCCCCGATGCAGCCAGAGCCTTGCTCGAGATGCCTGTGAATCCCAGCCCTGCCGGTCTGGCGGCACTTGTACCAGCGATGGAATGGGCTTCCGCTGCACCTGTGCCCCTGGTGTCCAGGGTGCGTGTCCCCCACATTCCCACCCCCGGCTCTTCCTCCCCACTTCTCCCTTCTCGTTTCCTTCCTGCTCCACTCTCCCTCCTTTACATTTGCCTTCTTTTCCTTTTCCTCTTCCCCCCACCCCCAGGGCCTTTGGAGGTGGGTATCAAGGTGGGGACCCTGGGGGAGGATGGGGACAAGGAGTCTCTCAAGAGTATCTCACTCTGCCTGGCGCCCCCCACAGGCCGTCAGTGTGAGCTGCCATCCCCCTGTACCCCAAACCCCTGTGAGCATGGGGGCCACTGCGAGTCTGCCCCTGGCCAGCTGCCTGTGTGCTCCTGCCTCCCTGGATGGCAAGGTACACCACGTGCTTCCTCCCGCCCCTCCCCTTCCCCTCCTCTGCACCCTGCTGCATACCGGGTGGTGCTGGGGACCCAGAGGGAACCTTACAGAAGAAAAACAGAAGACAAAAAAGTCTGGGTTTTGAGGGGCTTCTTTTTAAGAAGGGACCGAGCTGGACGCAGACGCTCGCAGCCCGTGTGGTCAGTTTTGGGGGAAAGGAAGGGATTTGGGGATGGGGAAGCTAGGACTCAGGTGGAGGGTTTGGGGACACCTTCCTGGAAGGGCAGACCTCAGTCAGAATGGATTCATTCGCTACCCACTGAAATAAAGGGAAGGCAGTTTGGGAATAGCACGTGTAAAACACCCAGGGGCAAATGAGAACGTGGCTTATTCCTCTCTTCACTCATCTCAGCCTTCAGGTTCTGAAGCAGCCCCTACCTGGTCCCCTCTAACCTTAGATATCACCTTTCTCCCCATCCCCAGGCCCACGATGCCAGCAGGATGTGGATGAATGTGCTGGCCCCTCGCCCTGTGGCCCCCACGGGACTTGCACCAACCTGGCGGGGAGTTTCAGCTGCACCTGCCATGGGGGGTACAGCGGCCCCTCCTGTGATCAGGACATCGATGACTGTGACCCCAGTGAGTTCCGGGGAGTTCCCAGGGCGGGTGCTGCCCTGGAGAACGTGTTCATGAAGTCCACACTGGGTGCCTAGCACTGTCCTTCCATTTTCTCGTCACTGTGCTCTTTCCCCATTTTATGGAAACTGAGGCCCCAGAGAGGTCAAGTGATTTGCCCAAGGTCACACAGCAAGCAGAGGGTTGCGCTGCGATTGGAGCACAGGTCTGTCTGAAGCCTGTAGACTGCCTCTGGCAGCGAACAAGTTAACATTATGCGTAAAGGGGAACATAACAGGCCCCCCATGGGTCCCCCGGGAACATTTTCTGATAGACCAACAATGCAAGCCACATGTACACTTAAAATTTGTCTAGCAGCCACATTGAAAAAGCAAAAAAAAAAAAAAAAAGATTAAATTTAATAATATATTTTAATTGAACCAATATATAAAATGTCATTTCGACATGTAATCGATAAAGGTTTTTGAGATATTTTACATTTTTTACACCAAGTCTTCAAAATCAGAAATCCAGTGTGTATTTTACTCTTATTTTATTTTATTTTTTTAATGTTTTATTTATTTCTGAGAGAGAGAGAGAGACCGCATGAGCAGGGGAGGGTCAGAGAGAGAGGGAGACACAGAATCTGAAGCAGGCTCTAGGCTCTGAGCTGTCAGCCCAGAGCCCGATGCGGGGCCCGAACCCACGAACTGCGAGATCATGACCTGAGCCGAAGTCGGACGCCCAACCGACGGAGCCACCCAGGCGCCCCGTGGTTTACTCTTACGGCACATCCCAATTTGGACTAGGCACCTGTCAAGGGCTTAATAGCCACATGTGGCCAGTGGTCACTATCCTGGCCAGCACAGGTCTGGACGAGGAATTAAGTAGATATAACTAACCCGCAGCATGTGCTTGGCAGCTTGGCAGCTCGAAGGGACCTTTCGGCTCCCCCATCCCGCTCCTCCTTGCACAGACGTGAGGTTTCCACATTAGGGAGGAGATGAAGCCGCAGAGGGGACAGAATTTGATCCCTCTGACCGGAGGAGACCCTCTCAGTTAAGCCTGGTTGCCTCCCGATTGCCCTCTGTGAAAGGCACGGCTGGGGCAGGCTGGGCTGACGGGGGTCAGGTGTATGACCGGGCCTCCTCCCTTCGGACCCTAGACCCCTGCCTGAATGGTGGCTCCTGCCAGGATGGCGTGGGCTCCTTTTCATGCTCCTGCCTCCCTGGCTTTGCCGGTCCCCGCTGTGCCCGCGATGTGGACGAGTGTCTGAGCAGCCCCTGTGGCCCGGGCACCTGCACCGACCACGTGGCCTCCTTCACCTGCACCTGCCCACCTGGATATGGCGGCTCCCGCTGTGAGCAGGACCTACCCGACTGCAGCCCCAGGTGTGTGGCGCCTCTGCTGGGAGCTCAGGGGTACTGGCGTCGGCCGGGGTGGGGAACGGGCGAAGGAAGGGGACAAGATGGGGGTTCCCGGCGTGGCACCCACGTCACAACTCTGATTCGATGGAGCAGCGTCCGGGAAGGGTCCCTGCGTCTGTTTGGAGGTCACCTTAGGGGACGCTGGTCCCTGAGGGGGCCAGGCCGGGGCGGGGTGGGGCTTCCGTGTGGCTCCCACCTTAGTTCTCAAGTACTTGGTAAGTTGGGGCTAAGGGACAGGAGGCGGGGGGGTGGGGGGCGGGTGGAGAACCTCTGCAGCAGCTGCAGCCTCTGCTGGGGGTGGGCATAAGGGGGGTCAGAGAGTGCGCCCCGACCCAAGAGGGGCCAGGAAGGCGGGGCCTGCCTGGGGGTGGAGCCTGACCGGCCTGGCCTGCACTTCCGTTCCCTCCAGCTCCTGCTTCCACGGCGGGACCTGCGTGGACGGCGTGAATTCGTTCAGCTGCCAGTGCCGCCCCGGCTACACGGGCGCACACTGCCAACACGAGGCCGACCCCTGCCTCTCTCGGCCCTGCCTGCATGGGGGCGTCTGCACTGCCGCCCACCCCGGCTTCCGCTGCACCTGCCCCGAGGGCTTCACTGGCGCTCAGTGCCAGGTGGGTGTGGTCATCGGGGGCCCGGGGGAGGCATTTGGAGGGTCCGGGACCCTGGGGAAGCTGGGGTGCGGCTTCTGGGAGGTCGTCGCTGAGACGCTGAGAGCTTCCCCTCCAGACACTGGTAGACTGGTGCAGCCGCGCGCCCTGTCAGAACGGGGGTCACTGTGCCCGGACCGGGACCTCCTTCTACTGCCTTTGCCCTCCGGGGTGGAGCGGCCGCATCTGTGACATCCGGAGCGTGCCCTGCAGGGAGGCTGCAGCCCAGATCGGTGAGGGGGAGCACAGAGGCGGGGTGCGGGGCTCGCGAGGGTGTGTGTGCACAGACTTCTTGCTAATGTGAGCCGAATACGGGTATGACAGAGCATGTGGGCGGCATGGGGTGTGTGGCTGAGTGTTTGTGGATGTGTGACGGTGTGACAGCCGGCCAGGGCCAGGATGGTGTACGCCTCTGTCGCCCTGAGGTGGCTGGGATGACGTCTGAGATGCTGTGTGTGACTGCGCTATGTGGGCAGGAGAGGTGTGGGTGTGTGTTTATGTGTTCGTGACCGAGATGGTGCCAGTGTGGGGAGATGTGTGACAACAAGATGCAATGTGTGTGAGACCCTGGTGACCGAGGCCAGCAGGGGTGTTTGGTGATGCCGTGAGTGATGCTGGCAGGGAGGGGCAAGTGCATGCCTGACACCGCTCTCCTCTGTGCAGGGGTGCGGCTGGAAGAGCTGTGTCAGACTGGTGGGCAGTGTGTGGACAAGGACAATTCCCACTATTGCGTGTGTCCGGAAGGCCGCACCGGAAGCCACTGTGAACAGGAGGTGGACCCCTGCTCTGCCCAGCGCTGCCAGCACGGGGGCACCTGCCGTGGCTACATGGGTGGTTATGTGTGCGAGGTAAGGGGCGCCCCGAGTCGCGGAGTGTGGGTGTCATTCTGGGTGCGCGCGCGCACACTTCTGTGTGTCTGTGACCTGGTGTGGGCGTGGCTCTCTCTGGACATGTCTGGGTTTTTGCTCTTCTGTCTCTGGGTGTCATCGTGTGGTGTATTTCTCGGTTGATCTAAGGGACGTTCTGTCCAACGGGGCTGTCTTTGTCTTTCATTGTTTCCTGGATGTACCTCGTACCGCTCTGGGTGCCCTGTCTTTTTGGGTGTGAATGCGTGTGCTGGCGTGTCTGTTCCATGTGTTTTGGGTGTATCCGGGTATCTGGGTGTAGCTCCTGTGTGTCTGTCCTGTGCGTTTGTATGTGTGGGTCCCTCTGCATTGGGTGTGTCTGTAACTCTCCGTATCTGGGTGGCCTCTGGGTCTGAGTGGGCTCCCTTGTACTGCGTGTGTGTTCTGCACACTGGTTGTGCCTCTGTGCTTTGGAAGACTGTATGTCTTTTGGTACTGCCATCTCCGTGTCTTCGCGGGGAGGATCTGTGTCCCCCCCGGGCTTAGTGATCCCTGTCTCACATCACTGCAGTGTCCAGCTGGCTACACTGGGGACAACTGTGAGGCGGATGTGGATGAGTGTGCCTCCCAGCCCTGCCAGAACGGGGGCTTCTGCATTGACCTCGTGGCCCGCTATCTCTGCTCCTGCCCCCCGGGAACGCTGGGTACGCCAGGGCCAGGGGTGGGGGACAGGAAGGGAGCGTGGGTCTCCATCCCTTCCTGACTGCTCCCTCATCTTCCCCTCCCCAAGGCGTGCTCTGTGAGATTAATGAGGATGATTGTGGCCCAGGCCCGCCCCTGGACCAGGGCCCCCGCTGCCTGCACAATGGTACCTGCGTGGACCTCGTGGGTGGCTTCCGCTGCACCTGCCCCCCCGGGTACACCGGCCTGCGCTGTGAGGCAGACATCAATGAGTGTCACCCGGGTGCCTGCCACGAGGCACACACTCGGGATTGTCTGCAGGACCCAGGTGGGGGCTTCCGCTGCCTCTGTCGTACAGGCTTCACAGGTAAGCGTGGGGGAGGCGCCGGCCCTGGGATCCTGCCCCGCTGCCTACACTGCGGCTGATCCACCTGCTCCCGCTTGTCCAGGTCCCCGCTGTCAGACCGTCCTGTCTCCCTGCGAGTCCCAGCCATGCCAGCACGGAGGCCAGTGCCGTCCCAGCCCAGGACCTGGGGGCATGCTGACATTCACCTGCCGCTGCATTCCCGTAGGTCCCCTCAGGGCCCCTGGGAGAGGAGTGCGAGCATGGCCACGATGGAGGATGTGGCTTTAGGGGAGAAGAAGCGGAAGGGAAGGGGGTTTCTGAGAAATACTGAAAATACCTGGACACTGTGTGTGTGTGTGTGTGTGTGTTTGGGGCCCACTGGCGCCCACTGGGGTTTGAAGACAAGGCCTCCTGGGGAAGGCGGGGCTTATCTGCAAGGTGGGGCCTCCAATGGGGGGGGGGGGAGAGGTGTGGAGGGACCTGGACCTGGGGAGATTGGAGCCTCAACCTTCTGAAGCCCTCACCCCTATTCTCCCCTCTCTCTCTTCTCCACCCTTCCAAATCCCTCCCTCCCCTCTCCCCTGCCCGGTCCGCAGCCGTTCTGGGGCCCGCGTTGCGAGCGGGTGGCGCGCTCCTGCCGGGAGCTGCAGTGCCCGGCAGGCGTCCCGTGCCAGCAGACGGTCCGGGGGCCGCGCTGCGCCTGCCCCCCGGGACTGGCGGGGCCCGACTGCCGGGGCTCGCGGGGGTCGCCGCCGGGGCCCGCCAACGCCAGCTGCCTGGCCTCCCCCTGCCTCCACGGCGGCTCCTGCGGCCCAGCGCCCCTTGCACCTTTCTTCCGCTGCGCGTGCGCGCCAGGCTGGGATGGACCGCGCTGCGAGGTGCCCGCGGCGGCGCCCGAGGCCCCTGAGGAGCCGCTGTGCCCGAGCGCCGCCTGCGAGGCCAAGAGCGGGGACAAGCGCTGCGACCGAGAGTGCAACAGCCCGGGCTGCGGCTGGGACGGCGGCGACTGCTCGCTGAGCGTGGGCGACCCCTGGCGGCAGTGCGCGGCGCTGCAGTGCTGGCGCCTCTTCAACAACAGCCGCTGCGACCCCGCCTGCAGCTCGCCCGCCTGCCTCTATGACAACTTCGATTGCCGCGCGGGCGGCCGGGACCGCGCCTGCAAGTGAGCCCCTCCGTCTGCTGTCTGCCATCCATTCCATCGTTCGCCCTCAGTCCGTGTCTTCTCTGTCCATGAGCCACACCTGCCCATCCACGAGTCCCGCTTCTCTATCTGCCCATTCATTTCCCTAACGTCAGTCCCTCTTTAGACTGTGGAACCGTTCATACGTTTGCCCCCTCCGTTTCTTGGTGTATTCTGTCTGCCCAGCCAAGTGCTGTTTGTCTGTCTGTGCATCTCATCTGCCCATCCATGTGCCACTGCCCTCCATCCACACATACCATCACCTGTTTGTCCATCCGTCTGTCCATCCATGTGCCCTGCCTGCCTGTCTTTCTGCCCGTGCACTCCATCTGTCTCTCCCTGCGTCCTTGTCGTCCATCTTGGACTTTGTTCTGTGCATCCATGAATTCCTTTCATTCCTCCAGACACCCAAATGTCTGTCTATGCCTCTTCTGGTCCATCCTTGAACCTCACCTGTCCATCCATCTATCTATTCTTTTTTTTTTTTTTTTAATTTTTAACATCTTATTTATTTCTGAGAGAGAGACAGCATGAGCAGGGGAGGGCCGGGAGGGGGAGGGGGGACACAGAATCTGAAACAGTCTCCAGGCTCTGAGCTGGCAGTCAGCACAGAGCCCGACACGGGGCTCGAACCCACGAACGGTGAGATCATGACCTGAGCCGAAGTCGGACGCTTAACCGACTGAGTCACCCAGGTGCCCCCCCCATCTGTCTGTTCTTATGCCAGTCTATGTGTCCGTTCATCTCTGTGCCTCTTCATCCACATTCATCCGTGTGTCTCTTCTGTCTGTCCTTCTGTCCATCCACTCCCCATTTTTGCCTCTCTCTATGCCTGTTCCTCTGTCCACGCCCCTACCTCTCTATCCCAGCCCATCTTCTACCCCTGTCTGTCAATTCATGAGCCCTGTCTTTCTGTCTCATTCCATCTGTCCATCCTGTGCTCTGCCTCTTTTTTTTTAAGTTTGAGAGAAACCTTATGAGTGGGGGAGGGGCGCAGAGAGAGAGAGGGAATCCCAATAAGGCTCCGCACTGTCAGTGCAGAGCCCGATGTGAGGCTTGAACGCAGGAACCGCAAGATCATGACCTGAGCTGCAATCAAGAGTCAGACCCCCTAACCGACTGAGCCCCCCCCCCACAACCCGGTGGCCCCAACTCTGCTTCTTGTGTCCCTGTGTCTGCCTGGAACCCTTTTCTCACTTTTATGTCCCTGTCCTCATTGTCCCCCACTCCCCTCCTCGCTCACCCTGGCTGGCCTCTGCCATTTCTCAGATACCCCCAGCTTGGTCCCACCTTAGGGTCTTTGCACTGACTGGCTGTTCTCTCTTTCTGGAATATTCTTCCCCGAGGAAGCCACCTGGCTCCTCCCTGGCCACCCCTACACTTCCCCTGCTTCATTTTTCTCCTTAGCATTTAGTTCCAAAGAGCACCGTGTGTGTACATGTGTGTTTACATTTAGCTTTTACTGGTGTGTAGTTGAAAGGCTGAGTATTCTGCCCCTTCATCTTTTTTTTTTAAATGTTTTATTTATTCTTGAGACAGAGAGAGACAGAGCATGAGAGGGGGAGGGGCAGAGAGTGAGACACAGAATCTGAAGCAGGCTCCAGGCTCTGAGCTGTCAGCACAGAGCCTGACACGGGGCTCGAACCCATGAACTGTGAGATCATGACCTGAGCTGAAGTCGGAGGGTCAACCGACTGAGCCAGCCAGGCCCCCACAAGTGTTGGTTTTTAATGTTAATGAAAGAATGTATTGGTAGAAGGCAGTTTTAACGTATCACTAACACACTTAGCTTGTTCTTTATAGATCAACTCTCTATGCCAAAATTTATCTTACAAAAAAAGACCACGGTCTCTTACTTTGCCGGGGACAAAAACTATAAAAAAGCAAAAAGGTAAAAAAGTTAAAAAA